ATGGTTGGGATTTACAGGATCAGGGCTTCTGCATGACTAGCTGCTGAGACACAGAGTGCCCAGTAAAAGGTTAAGATTTGTTTCATTGTTCACACACATGAATTCTTTGTAAAGGTGTGGACTATTTATAAAAGAGAAAGAGATGCTGTTAAAAACAAAAATTTTTTTTCAAGTAGTGATGCTGGTAATATTCTACATTACATTCTGTGCATACATAGAACAGCTGAAGATGTTTGTTTATTTAAAATACATGTACTATATTGAATTTTAAAATGCATTTTTGGGAATTTCTTATTTTACATAGATTACTTGTTTTGACTAAATTTCATAAAATAGTTTGRTCTGATTGGTTTGTTTTGGGGCTTGTCTTTTTTCTTTGTTTCTGTGAAAACATTTTTTGCACTCTGATTGTTTAATCTTTTATTTGCTGAGGAGCACAGCTTCCTAGCACACTGGAGAATTTTTTGATTGACTTGCAGACAGCTGGTCCCATTGCAATGCTGTTTAAAGTGATTAAAATTATTGCAGAGACATATTCCTTTAGAAAATGTTACAGATTTTGCTCTTGGGAGTATTTTGAGTGTCTGCATTTTTTGGATGCTGTGAGGGAAAAATAACCCTTTATGAAATAGAGGAAGGCTATACTAACATGTAACACTTATTTTTGGCTGACACTACCAGCTTTTTGTCCAAGGTACCCAGGTGGCTAATTAAAGCAGAGAATTTAATGAAATAGTGTGATTTTCTATAGCTATCAGAGTTGAAAGCGTTGGAGGTTAGACAACACACACCACTGTAAAATAAGATCTGAATGATACATATAAGCAGAAACTAAAGTGTTTAATATTTGTCTTAAAAAGTTGAACRGAAGGAATGAAATGTCCTGTATTTGGAGCTGTGAGATCAATTTGTGTGCTACTCCAGARCAAGGAAAARCCACAAACACRGTTAAAGTGTAATCATCACAGTTAYACCAGCAAGGACTARGGGCTGCTTCTGTTTTGCTGTTTATTTTGCTGCTGATCAAGGGTCTGGGTCTCTGTGGCACTGATGTCTGTTTGCTGCAAAGACATTTCCATTTTAAATAGAATGAACAGTGCATTTGAGGTRAGGGCATCTTGCTGTTTGCACAGGGAGATTGATGGACTGGATGTCATATGAGATGAAGATAAAGGGCTGTTTGAGAATTTTTTTGTCTTTTCCCTCTTCCTGTCTGGCTTGGATCTGTGATACTCTCAGTGCATCTAAATATTCAGCATTCACAGATGATGGCTCTTCAGCACTATGGGAAGTCAGAGCTGCTGCAGTTTATTCACTCCAGTGTTGGTGTTCTGAGGCCGTTTTTCTTGAAAATTTGTTGTATTCTGAATAAAACAGGGTTAGGCACTGCTGTCATTCAGATGCCTGATTTGAACTCTAGTGCCCAGCTGAGGTGGAAATCAATTGCTGTGGAGAATTCTGTGTGCTGAGAAAGATTATGAAAAATTATCCCATGTCAGAAAGAGTCAGGAAAAGGAATGGGAGATGGTTGCTGGCTGATTTTTATGGAGTAGCRTATCTAAGGTGAATGAATGTTCAGTTAAGAGCAATGGCTTGATCGAGGTATCAGAAATTCATAAACTTAATTTAATGAGTAGTAAGACAGTATCTAAGGAAGTACTTTACGTCATCTTTTTCTCTTTAGGAGTGAGAGAATGGCTAATGTACTAAAATAATTAGATTTTATTTAGAATTTTTTCTTTTACCTGGTGTTTATCTCTCCTTTATTAACTTCAAACATTATTGTCATCTAGTATTATGTGTCATGGGTGTTTGCTGGATACTGCTTCTCTGATATTGAATTATCAAATGAGTTAGGAGATGCCTATAACATGCTTCAATTCATTATTCTGGAACAAAACAGAACTTATTTTCTTTTTAATGCATTTTTAAAAAATTCATTTGTATTTTAAACTATTCAAGATGTGTTTATATTCTAGCTCTCTTTTCAAGATAGTTTAGCTTCACTCTGAGTCCTTTTTTGTTCCTAAGCTGCTAGATGTTCTATGACAGTTGCTGACTGGCTAAAACCACATGAACACAAACAAATGTAAATTTGTTGTCTGAAAAACTGTCGTTAATCCTCCTTTTTAATGTTTGGCCAAGATTAAGCATCTGTGCAARGAGTTAGTCATCTACACTGCTTTTTAGTCTGCTTTGTTTCTTAAATGTTGATGAGCTCAGAACATCCCTGCTTTAAGCCAAATGCAGTGCTGGCACCACTTCAGTGCACTCTGGACTTGGTGCTTCAGAACTGGTTTGTAGCCCGGCTCTCCAGTTCTGTGAAGTTTGTGAAATCACAAAAGCAGCAGAGTGTTGGTTAATAACCAGCTTGGGATGACTGCAGTGTCTGGCTCAGAGGTTGAAGAATTTAGCTCCCCAAAAGAGAATAGATGCCTGACTTCAGAATGAACTATAGCAATGTGGAAAATCGGAGAGCTGTGCATTTCATCTTCCTGCTCTGGGGCAATTACACTATCAGAAAATGCTACACTACCAGAAAATGATTAACTTGTGATGGCAAGAGGAATTCTACTGACCAGACCCCTAAAACATACACTTCAGATTTTAAAGGCGTATGTCTTAAGCAGTAGTCTTTTATTTATTTTATTCTGTCTAATGAATTTTGTGGTCTCAGAGCTTTAAAGCCAAGCAGTGTAGCAGAACACATGAAATGAATTCCACATGATAAAGASTAATGTAGACTCAACAATGCATATTAGCATAGCTACCAGTGAGCTGTGTGGATATTTTATCATATATCCTCTGTGGTCATGCCATATGATATTTTATGCTGATTGGGTACTACTCCCAAATATTTTTTCTATTTCTCATGCTTATTTTTTTACTTCTCCTAATCTTTTATTTTATTCAAAAGCATTTTAGAAACAGAGCCACATGAAAACATACCAGAGCAAGCAACTCAAAAATTCTACTGGACCAAGGATTATATATGATAGTTGCTATTAAAAAAAAAAAAAAAAAAAAAAAAAAAAAAAAAAAAAAAAAAAAAAAAAAATTTAAAAAAAAAAAAAAAAAAAAAAAAAAAAAAAGCCAGTGGGGAATGTGTTCTTGTACTTATTTGCTGCATTGGACTCTCCCAGTACTTTTAATGCAGGCCTGAAAGAAAACTCCTCAGCCAGGCTTTTTAGTGTACCATTTTCTGTTCATTTCCATAGCTATGTCGCCAGTTGTGGAATAAAGAGGGTCTACGMCAGAGCTTTCTATAATTTCCTTCTCTTCAAGATTTTGCATATCACAGGCACCAGATGTTTTCCTTTCAAGCTCTGCYGTGTTCTGCTTTTCAGTGTGGATCAGACAGAAGCTCAAAGGGGGAGTTGTGTGAGGGAGGGGTGATGAAAGAAGTCACTCGAATTGGCATAAAATTGAATTTCTTACAGAGATTAAATGTAAATGAATTTATCATTTACTCAACATGAGATTGGAAAACCAGTTTATGTTTTAACAAACAGCACAAAGTCATATTGCATCACCAAAATTTCTGCCAAATGCGTTTATATATGAAGTTGTGGAAGTAGTTTCTTCCAATATTAATTTTGGTTTTATGCTGAGTAAGTCTATGTTTACAATTATGAGGCGGACTCATGACAGGGATTTTCACTTGCAGTTGYAAACAGATAACCTATATTTGAACTAGTTCTCTGTGCCTTTTCTTTTCTGGGCAAGTCGAAGTTACTTTTGTTTTACTTGTAATTGATTATATTTTCTCTTACGTGCTGTACTTAAAAACTTTTTATGAAGTGCCTTTTAAGAATTTGTAATACCATGGCACAYTTATTGATTGCAAATTAATTGATAATTTTTCAGTATAGATAAATAAGGAAGAAACCATTGGTAGGACAAAGAAAGCAGTGATGGAAATATCAAATGACCTAGTTTTTTTAGCGTAATAAAATCTGTGCAAGAAATTATTCTATAACTTTTTTCACTGCTTCTGATGTGGAAGCAAAGGAGGGATTTTCAGTGATCCTTTTGGGCATTGAATAATATTCTCTTCATTTGCCACAATAGGATTAGTGAGTAGATCTCATTAGGAATTTGCACGTGACTTTTTTTATAGATAAAAGGGAACAAATTCCTCCAAGTCAAAGAAAGTCTGGAAAATAATATCTAAGAATCCAAGCAGGTAGGAAGCATTGCTGCAAGGATATGTTTTCATTACCTGCCAGGCAAGATTAGTTTGCCTGCTTTCTCAAAAAGGTGTATGCTAAGTCTCAGAAATACTTCTGGTAGCTTAATAACATCCACAATAAAAGATAATTAAATATTAAAATTTTTTTTTATTAATAAAGTCTTCATGAAACATGTAATGGTGGCAAAGATAGTTTCTTTTTCTTAGAAATAGCTCATAAATTGTTTTTTGTTTTTTTTTTTAATAGAAGTCCCATTATTAAAAATAATAGAARTATTTTAGTCATGTACAAAGCTATTTGTAAAGGCATCCTTTATTCTTCATGGCATGTTTATAACCTGACCTTCTATCCCATCATAATTTAATCCTCCTAAACACTATGGTTTTAGTCCAGGTTTTAAAAAATAGAATTTCACAACMTAGAGTAGTCATCACCTTCTGCTTCCTTTGAAATGAATGCTACTTGAAGCACCTATTAAAATTGTTCCTGAATGCACTGTCTCTGGATTGTTGGATAACCTCCCTCTTTCAACAATTTTTCTGCGAAGAGCTCAGAATATATGAGTATTTGTGAGCAAATCATAAAAAGGGAAAAATCTTACAARCCCAAMTAATTGTTTTATCACTGTATAATCTATTTTGATATGCCATCTTGAAAACAAGATGAAATTTTATTGTTACAACTGATCCTTGGAATACTTGTGTGTGTTGGAGAATYGATGTCCTGTGCTGTAGTCACAAAATGAAAGTGTAGTGCAAAGAAGTGATTGCAGTTATTAACACTAATGGGTGTGTGTGCAATTCGTAGACACATGAAGGACCAAAACAAGAAGGTTGCCAATCTGAAGCACAATCAGCAAATGGAGAAAAAGAAGAATGCCCAGCTGTTGGAAGAAGTTCGCAGGCGAGAGGACAATATGACTGACAACTCTCAACATTTACAAGTGAGTTTGTTTTTCAATTGTGTTTTAAAATTGTCGAAGAAAATACACTTCTGTTCTGCTGTGTCTTCTAGAATGTGTAATGAATCTCTTCCCACAAAGAGCTGACCAGGGGATGCTCTACTCACCTCAGTTGTATCCATGAAATTTTTACTATTTAGGGTGAGGAATAAAGCAGTACAGTCTGAAGATCTCTGCACAGTTACATCAGGAACTGGGTTTTTTTTACAGTTGAAAAGGTTCTGGTGTATTTCTTCTGTTTTTGAGCCTTCTTCCAGGAGAATTTCTGCAGTGTGTAAGTTACATTCATTGAGAAATGAATGTTCTTAAACTGATCTGTTTAAGTGATCCATTACATACCAGGGAACTTGTATTCAAGGCCACAAATTTGATGCTTGACTTAAAAAGTGTTCTCTGAGAYCTGGCTGTGGAAAACCACGGAGAGAAGTGCTGATTTCTGTTGACAACATCCCTGTCTCCATGCCCAGTGTTTGTAGGCAATTTACAGTGCAAAATATCAATTTTGCCTTGATCTGGTTAATATAATGCGTTTCTGGAAAATTTCCAGTGGATGGAATTTGACCCTCTCGTGCTTCATATGGTTGTATTTCTCATGTGTTCCTATATGCAAAATGGAAAAATTAACACCACATCTCTCTTTAGAGTTGTGTTGGTGAAACTTTATGTCAAAAYCAAGTTCAGGAAATGATACATTATTTATGCATCTGTGCAGTGTTAGGTTTACTTTACAGACTTGGTCATTACCTAGTGATTGCATCACCATGCATTCCACTGCACGTGATAGAGCAATAAAAGCTTGTGAAGGATTTGGTCTGGCAATATGATATATCAAAATTAAATTTCAGTGTTGAGCAGCTACTTGTAATTACAGTGGCTCAGCAAGGAGAATAAATTAAGCTTATTTTTTCAGTATTATTTTGGAAATCCAGCAGAGTGGGGTGGTGACTGGAGAATAGAAGCCATTTTCAGGATCTTTGATGTAACTGCTTTACTTAGAGGTTTCTAGATGTGTGATGAGGATGTGTCTGCCATATGGAGGTGGGTGTGGCTGAATGCCTTGAATTTAGAAAGAAAATACCCTGTCTGGTGTATTACTCCTTATTACTATGCCTTAAAACGTCAATGTTTTTATAGGCAGTCTTTTAACATATTATTTCCAGTAATTATGCATATATTCATATATATATGTATATATGATATGTGTTGTGGCCCATCCTTCATTTGCTGAGCTGTTGGGAGAGTGAAAAAGGAGAGAATCCCAGCTGCCTCTGCCAATCAGAAGTTGCTTTACATTCCCAGTAGCTGCAAGAACAGCAGGAGCAAGGGAGTCTTGGTTGTCTGTGCTGCTGGATTKCTGGGAGGGATAATCCTTCCTTCTCTGCTGTGCAGGCAATCAGCTGCCACAACTGCTTGTTGTGTTTCCTGTGTCAAAGATTTTCACATTTCCTTGGTTTATTTCTTCTTGAGCATTTCTTAATGCTGAAGAGYGCRCAGAYGCTTGAGGTTTCCCTGTGATTGCARTATTTTGGKAGGTTTTATTGCTCTACAAAAACACTGTAGTGAATCTTAAATTCAAATAAAGTAAATCCTCTGAACAGTCATGTCGCAGTGAAGGGGAAATGACCCTGATGTGCATTTATTCTGCTGATAGGAAACTATTTTGGTYGAAAGTTTTTCACTGGTACAGTTTGTTTTATAGATGTGAGGCAATTACAAATGCTGGGTGTGAGCATCAAGACTTGTATGAATCTAATAARTAGGTGGTTCACAGGTTGAAAAGCCAAGCAAATTCTAAATCTTCAGTCAATTAGCCTTGGTATAGAAAGGAAATTTTCTTCCATAAAAGTTAACAGCAGTGATTTAAGCATTTAAATGAGGCAGCATTTTTGGGGAGACAAATGATGTGAGATATGTGATATACTTAAAAAAAAACCACTTCCAGGAGTACTAATATCTGCTAATTAAAACCAATATTGATATTTCAAGAAATGTTTAATTAAGTTCTTAGTAAACCAAATAGGGTTTACTTTAAGAACTTTACTTTAAGAACCTCCTTTTCCTACTGTTCTTAGTAACTTCTACTGCTTTTAGTGGAAACACCCTGCATTTATAGGCATTTATAGCATACAGTCCTTGTGTCTACAGTGTACTTGTTACATTTGTGAATGATATATTGAGCTGTTAGGGGAAAAGTGTATCCTAAAATTCTCTGGCCTGATGCAATGACTGTGTTTGTTGGCTAGCTGTGATAAGCTGGCTGTTGGCTGGCTGTGATAAGCTCAACTGAGAATTGAAGAGCAGTCAGAGTGGTCAAATTACACCGACTGCAGCCAAGTCTTGATCCCTTTTGCAGGAGTAGAGGAAAAGATGTAAAAAAGGAAGTGAGTACGATTGTCCAAGGAGTGTGCAGGGGCTGCTCAGGGCAAACTGCAGCAGTCAAGTGGCACCCACCCTGTCCAGCCCACGTGGAGGGGCTGAGCTGTGCCATTCATCCCTCACCTGCTTTCTGAGGGGTTTGGAGAGGTTCACAACTCTGTGGTTTCTTGGAAGCTTCAATAGTACAGAGCAGCTCCTGAGCTGCTTCAATAGTACAGAGCAGCACCAGGTGTATTTGTGACACTTTTCACAGTCTTTGCCTGTAAAAGCCTCTCAAAGCTGGGTCATGTCCCAGTGCCAGCTCTTCAGGTCAGGTTTGGTGGTGGCCCCATCTCAGGGCACTCCAGGGCCACTGCTGTGATGGAGAGTGCTCTGGGAATGCCTGRGGAGGGAATTCACTTTGGTCTCCCTCAGCTATCATCTTTAATTGTGAGTGATGCTTCAGGTGTGGTTTTGGGGGTTCTTTGGATCACTGTAAAATTGGAAACATCAGGGAACCAGATTAATTCTTGGGAATGAAGAATAGTTGTGAGGTTTTCTGTTTTTTCCTAACACAAATCAAGGGCAGACCTGTGTGAATCTTGCCAGACATGATGGTCATATATTACATAAAGTATCACAGCAGGAGAGCTTCACCTTGAACACTTTATCATGAATTTTTTTTTGAGAATGGTGTATCTAGTATGCTTTCATTTTTCTCTTTTTTTTCCTTTGTCTGTCTTAAAAATGATAAGCCTTTTTGAGAAACACGGAGCTAAGATGTATACAGATATCATGTCATAAATTTGTGAGTAGTTCTTCGAGTCTCTTTGCAGGATTTTGTAACCTTAGAGATGTGAGACTTGTTTATTCCCCGAGATTATTTTTTCTTGATTCTTGTATGGAACATGTTTCTTCCAGTAACACTGTTACCTCAGTAGAATTGGGAAGAAAAACATTTGCATAACACTKAGAACTTGAGTGCATTTGGTTTTGATTCTGGTTTTCAAATCTGCTGTAATAACAACAACAAAGTCTTTTTGTTTCTTTAGAGTAAACAATGTGAAGGTGCACTAATAATATTCCCATGTGTCTCATGACATAGCCTCAAAGGGAATTAAATATACACTTTTGTCTGATTGTACTTTTCATAAATGTAGTGAATCAATTCAGTAAGTGATCTAAGTCCAGAAACACTTTGTAGAAATTTTATGCAAGCTGTCCAATGCATATGTGTCAAGAAAAAAGTGCAGGGATGAGCCTGAAAAAAAAGTTCAAAAGTTTAATGTCCTGTTCTGCCTAGCTTCTGGGTGTTTCCCCCTTTTCTTCCAGTTCATCTCCCGGCAAAGTTTTTGACTCTCYTAATGTTTTAAATGTTTGGGTAATTTGTCACAATTCTCTTTGAGGTAGCTTGGGTTTTCTTTGGGTGGAAATCCACAGGCGGAAAAGAGATATTTTACTAACAATRTTGTTTTTGAGTGAGACAGTGTGTATTCTCATTGATTTCAAATGTCATATACAGGCAGCTTGATCAATGGTCTATGCCTGCAGGACTGYAGAACAGATTGTGTACACATGTACATTTTCCAGGTGTAAATACCTCACTTTTTTAACAGAGTTCAACTTGTCAGTCGTGCTTTTTAATGGGATGTAGTGAGGCAAGGCAAGAGTTCCAGTTTTCTAATAGCTCCGTACTGGCTGGAAATTTAGTCTTAGGTAATGAATAAAACATGATGAGGAGGAAGTCCTGTCAAAAGAGATAAAAAAACTGGCTAGTTAATATTACTGTGCTCTGATTCTTGCCATGTGAATATCTGTGATGTCTTAATCACTGAAAATAGCTCCCCTGAGACTTCACAGCTAGTCAGCATGAAACCTTTACCTTGGATTTGTTACTTTATTTKTCACTCTATGCTTCACCATATAATTTTCAAATTCATAATAGCTCTAAAAATATAAAATATCCCAAGACATTGGACATTGCTATATGTTATTTGTGTCTTATAGCGTGGCCTGAGCAAGAGGTTTATCTGACATTACTATGAATTTACTATGACGCAATGCTGTGTTTTTCCTCTACTGCATTGTCTCAAAAGCTTTGATTCTATTATATTAATAAACAGAGCAAGCTAGGGAGTGACATGAAGTCTTGCAAATAAAAATGAGCAGAGCAGTGTAATCAGTTCAGAGACAGAGGAAGCAGCAGACAGACATTGGTGTGTGGAGCTGACACGACACAGCAGAGAATTCATTGCATGAACACACAATTTTGTATTATTAGTGCTGACATTCATATGCAGTGACAAAACTGCACTAATCTTTTAAGAGGTTAAAGTCGTGAACTATTGTATTAAAATTAAATTCTAATGTAGCAATCATCTGTCCTAAGGTGGACCTGTACCTCTCTGGAGAGCTTTAATAGTTCTCAATGTTTATGGGTTCTCTATGTTTCTGCCTTTATATGGCAAGTTTTTGGTTGGTTTTTTTTTTTTTCGGGGAGGGAAGATGCACTTCAAGAATATGCAATTCCTGCCTTTTTCCTGGATATTTATAAGAGGGGAAAAAAAAGTTCCCTGAACTGTGTGAAGCTTATTATATGCTCTGCATTTTGCTGAAGGCTGGATATT